AAAAATGCCATGCCGACAAAAACAACTTAAAATTCTATCCGCATCGACTTTTATCTCCAATTCTGGTTGAATATTAACAAGAATATAATCGCAGATTTCAACACTCATTCTGGTATTTACTCGAAATTTTTTTCTAGATGCATTCTATTTGTTGTGGAATTCTCCATCTATAACCCGATTCGTATTCAAATGAAGTACTCCGATATCTCATCCAAATATTATGTCTTGAATCAAAAAAAAATTACTTTCTTTGCAATATCGAGATAACTGTGTGAGAAAATGGCAGGACGCGAACCGCGAACTCAAAAAGGTCGTGGGTTCGAATCCGCCATTCGACTACTGGCGTGAATCACTCGTAACACAAGCAATTTAAGCTTATCACGAGTGGTTAAGGGGTATATTAGTAATGTTTATAGCATTGTTAATATTCTTTAAAAAATCACAAATGTGAATTCAAATGCACAAGCAGTTTTCTAGGGCTGCGTACTGTCCTTCTGCAGGACGAAAAGACGCTGGTCACTCAGCGTCTTTTCGTGATGATACTTGATGGAAATAGGCGAGAAAAAGTAGAACTGACCCCGGCATTTTAAGTGATCTCCAGACTCCCGACAAAACTCAAAATCTCCAGACAAACAGCATCTAGTAAAGTTCTATACAAATTAGTAACAAATGGTTATCTCTTTTGCCCGCTTTAGATCGTTTACTGTATTGATAACCTGCTGTAAAGCAGTATTTTTTTGTTGAAAGGGGAAAACGAATATCGAAAGGATATATTAAGATTTTAATATGGGTGTTTGTAAAAAAAGTCTAAGCTATATTAAGAAAGGATTTCAGAAGCTTATTTACACTTTGTACACAACGTAATGTTGGATTTCTAAGCAGTAACTTTAGCATTGGTAAGTGCTGCATGCACCGTCCTAGAAATTGACAGTATAATGAAAAAACTAATGAGTCACCTCAAAAACAGGTTGTATGATAAATTATTCGGTAGTAGAAATAGAACCTTATTAAGGTATGTTGCTGATTGTGAGAAAACTTTTTTTTGCGTCGAAGCTGAACAGTTTTTGAAACGAGCTATTCAATACTTGCAAGAATACTATGATTTTTCTAAGTACTCTATACAATAAATTTGCTGTATATTCTACGTCTCTCTCTCTCTCTTCTCTCTCTCTCTCTCTCTCTCTTTTCGCCTTATTGACGGACGAACTTAATATTTTAATCGATATTGATTATTATTGACCAAGTTACTGTGGTCCTCGAGAAATACTTGAACATCTTCTAAAAGTCGAGGACATGTCAAGTGACGAAATTTGTGCATATTTTTTTAATTCAATATAACCTCAAAAATTAAAAATTAATATATATCATTATTTGTGTTGCCCATTCCTGTAAGCAATGCTTACTAATAGGGTGTTAGTTTGCTTAATAATTTATGTACCAAAGAGAAAAATTGTATAACCTCTGACTTCAAGTAAATTGTTTGAATTTTAAATCATTTCTGAATACTACTAAAGGATCCAAATCGGTGGACTCACTAAATGTGTGTCTAATGCCAAATAGATGTGACAACCTACTCAAATTACTTAAATTGGTATGTCAACAATGTTAAGTATTTTTGTGTATTAATTATTTCCATTAATGTCTATTAAAAAAATAATTTTTATTAAAAAAAATTTAATTAAAAAAATATTTTACATTCTTATATTTCATATTTGTTTCTCTCAACAGCCCCAAAATCCCGACATTTTCAAATTTTGTCCAGATATTTTGGTCTTCCGATCTGGCAACCCTAGAGCAATATCGTAATTTCAACATCGTCTAGATCAGGGATGGCGTACTTTTATGTATCAACGTGCTATTTTTATTCACTCAAGCACTTTATTATCCACTCAAAACTCTTTATTTACTACAAAAAATAAATAAATGTTTCAGTTATAAGCGTAATTCAAATTAAAGTAACATTAGTGTGACTTCTGTTGTTGTAGAATAGATGACAAACAATTTATATTGGGGTTGTAAAATCCTAAATGTTACACAAATGAATTTTTAAATACAGATGTGTCAACGAAATTGACTAGTATGCTATGCGTAACATTGAGGTATTACTACTACGTATAGAGAAGACAACGCCTTCCATTGGATTTGCGCCACGCTCTTCGGTACACCGCAACTGTCTTTTTTTTAAGTTCTGGAGTGCTTACTGCAGTCTTTAAGAACACAACCAGGCATTTTGAAGTTGTTATTTATGCGAAGCGAACACGGCTCGTCTGTGCGGGTGTGCGGGCGTTGGACACTCACTAAACAGTGTTTACACACAGTGTAAACAGTGTTTACACACAGTGTAAACAGTGTTACACACAGTGTTTACACACAGTGTAGTTAAACTGTGTTACACACAGTGTAAACAGTGTTTAGTGAGTGTCCAACGCCCGCACACCCGCACAGATGAGTCGTGTTCGGTTCGCATAAATAACAACTTCAAAATGCCTGGTTGTGTTCCTAAAGACTGCAGTAAGCACTCCAGAACTTAAAAAAAGACAGTTGCGGTGTACCGAAGAGCGTGGCGCAAATCCAACGAAAGGCGTTGTCTTCTCTATACATAGTAGTGATACCTCAATGTTACGCATAGCATACTAGTCAATTTCGTTGACACATCTGTATTTAAAAATTCATTTGTGTAACATTTAGGATTTTACAACCCCAATATAAATTATTTGTCGTCTAATCTACAACAACAGAAGTCACACTAATGTTACTTTAATTTGAATTATGCTTATAACTGAAACATTTATTTATTTTTGTAGTAAATAAAGAGTTTTGAGTGGATAATAAAGTGCTTGAGTGAATAAAAATAGCACGTTGATACATAAAAGTTCGCCATCCCTGATCTAGACGATGTTGAAATTACGATATTGCTCTAGGGTTGCCAGATCGGAAGACCAAAATATCTGGACAAAATTTGAAAATGTCGGGATTTTGGGGCTGTTGGGAGAAACAAATATGAAATATAAGAAAATAAAATATTTTTTTAATTAAAATTTTTTTAATAAAAATTATTTTTTTAATAGACATTAATGGAAATAATTAATACACAAAAATACTTAACATTGTTGACATACCAATTTAAGTAATTTGAGTAGGTTGTCACATCTATTTGGCATTAGACACACATTTAGTGAGTCCACCGATTTGGATCCTTTAGTAGTATTCAGAAATGATTTAAAATTCAAACAATTTACTTGAAGTCAGAGGTTATACAATTTTTCTCTTTGGTACATAAATTATTAAGCAAACTAACACCCTATTAGTAAGCATTGCTTACAGGAATGGGCAACATAAATAATGATATAATATATATTAATTTTTAATTTTTGAGGGTATATTGAATTAAAAAAATATGCACAAATTTCGTCACTTGACATGTCCTCGATTTTTAGGAGATGTTCAAGTATTTCTCGAGGACCACAGTAACTTGGATTAAAATATTAAGTTCGTCAGTCAATAAGGCGAGAGAGAGAGAGAGAGAGACGTAGAATATACAGCAAATTTATTGTATAGAGTACTTAGAAAAATCATAGTATTCTTGCAAGTATTGAATAGCTCGTTTCAAAAACTGTTCAGCTTCGACGCAAAAAAAAGTTTTCTCACAATCAGCAACATACCTTAATAAGGTTCTATTTCTACTACCGAATAATTTATCATACAACCTGTTTTTGAGGTGACTCATTAGTTTTTTCATTATACTGTCAATTTCTAGGACGGTGCATGCAGCACTTACCAATGCTAAAGTTACTGCTTAGAAATCCAACATTACGTTGTGTACAAAGTGTAAATAAGCTTCTGAAATCCTTTCTTAATATAGCTTAGACTTTTTTTTACAAACACCCATATTAAAATCTTAATATATCCTTTCGATATTCGTTTTCCCCTTTCAACAAAAAAAATACTGCTTTACAGCAGATTATCAATACAGTAAATGATCTAAAGCGGGCAAAAGAGATAACCATTTGTTACTAATTTGTATAGAACTTTACTAGATGCTGTTTGTCTGGAGATTTTGAGTTTTGTCGGGAGTCTGGAGATCACTTAAAATGCCGGGAGAATCCAGACGAATCCCGACCATCTGGCAACCCTATATTACACAGTCCATCCAAAAGGGTAATAAAGTTTATTTTTAGTTCCATGAGATAATTCTTGGGGATTAAGATGACATTACTCCAACTGTATAGGCGTACAAGCTCCTTCCTTTCAAATGGAACACGTCAATGTTTAGTGAGTGTCTACACACAGTGTTTACACACAGTGTAAACAGTGTTTAGTGAGTGTCCATCGCCCGATAATAATTTAAAGTGGATTTTGATTCGTAAAAGTGATGCGATTTTATGAATTAAGTATCCGCACGTGTGAACTATTAGAGAAAATGACGAAACAAGTGCTTTGATGACGATATAAACCTCAAGTTATTGAGATGACTTGGTTGTCTCATGAACTTGAGTGGCTGTCGTCATCAACTGTCCGCTAGGTTGAGCTGTCGTCAAAATCTCTTAAGGGCTTCACAATGTGACGCATCAGGATATTGTGAAGAAAAAGAATATAAAAATGAAGATCCCGAAAGAAATGATAGGCTCAGAAGGGCTAGAGCCCAGATCCGTAAAGCCAATTAATAAAAAAATAACTTTCCTCTATGACTCTGTGGTTGAAAGCTGTCGACAGCTGTCGAACTCGAATGCTCGAATCTGTTTTGCTTTAGTTTTCCGATATCGGTAATTTAAAATAAAAATATAATTACAATTTAAAATGTCGGAAAATGAGCTCGATGATGCGTAAGAAGACTCAAGGTATCATTTGTGATTAGAGACGAAGAGGAGCGACGTCATAAAAATGGAATTAGCTCATTGCAATTGGACCCTATACAAGGAAGGTTATACTCAGCTGGACGTGATGGAATTATACGCGTCTGGCATACAGGAGCCGGTACGCAAGACAGATATATTCAGAGTATGGAACATCACACCGATTGGGTGAATGATATTGTACTTTGCTGCGGTGGCAAAAATCTTATTAGTGCCTCCTCCGACACAACTGTAAAGGTTTGGAATGCACCTAAAGGATTTTGTATGTCAACCTTACGAACTCACAAGGATTATGTACGTACTTTGGCGTATGCTAAGGACAAAGAACAGGTCGCGAGTGCTGGTCTCGACCGAGCTATTTTTCTATGGGATGTCAATACTTTAACGGCTCTCACTGCCAGTAATAACACTGTCACTACGTCTAGTCTTGTCGGTAATAAGGAATCTATATATAGCCTAGCTATGAATCCTCATGGAACTATCCTTGTAAGTGGCTCTACAGAAAAAGTTCTAAGAGTGTGGGATCCACGTAATTGTTCTCGACTTATGAAATTAAAAGGTCATGCAGATAATGTTAAAGCGTTAGTTGTAAGCAGAGATGGATCACAGTGCGTCTCAGGCAGTTCCGATGGTACAATCAAGCTGTGGTCCTTATCCCAGCAAAGATGTGTTTCAACAATTCGGGTGCATTCTGAGGCAGTATGGGCACTGTTAGCTACTGAAAATTTTACTCATATAATATCAGGTGGCCGTGACCGGCTTGTTATTATAACAGAACTAAGAAATCCTAATAATTTTATGATTGTGTGTGAGGAGACTGCTCCTATTCTTAAAATGTGCTTTACAGCTGATCAGCAAGGTGTTTGGGTATCGACATCTGATTCTGACATAAGGTGTTGGAAACTGCCATCACACAACTCTTTAATCTCTGATATGTATAACCAGAACAGTTATAACACGAATAATGTATATCAAACACAGCCACTTCATCATATTCCTGGTGGTCGAGCTATTAGGCATTATACAGTGTTAAACGACAAACGTCACATCCTTACTAAAGATACAGCAAACCATGTTATGCTGTATGATGTGCTTAAAGCCTGCAAAGTTGAGGATCTAGGTGAAGTAGACTATGATGAAGAAGTGAAGAAACGTTTCAAAATGGTTTATGTACCTAATTGGTTTAATGTTGACTTAAAGACTGGAATGTTGACAATACATCTTGGCCAAGATGAGACTGACTGCTTAAGTGCATGGGTTAGTGCAAAAGAAGCAGGTTTGACCACAGAAAATGATCAAAAAGTCAATTTTGGTGCGTTATTGCTGCAGGCTTTGTTAGAACACTGGAATCATCCCAATAGAGTTAATGAAGCAGGACAGAAAGTGATTGGTAACAATTTCTTTAGTGTTCCGTTGCATACACCATTGATATTCAGTGAGGTAGGAGGTCGCACACTTTATAGACTACAGGTAAATATTTGTACTAAACTTAAAAAATAATACTTTTATATGTGAATTGTCATAAGCAAAGGATTGGCTTAGTACTGTGTAGTGACCCCATATCGTCCCATGGGTGTCGTAAGAGGCAACAGAATGCAACAAATCAGGAGATGAGCGGCAGCATCTTCCTAATATGACTAAAAATAAAAAACTGCAGTTGCCTACTTGCTTTCTAAGTGCCACAACTGTAGCAAATATCCCCCTTATGAGGCAATCTGCCGTGTAGTGTGGTTGAGAATATCCACTGCTCCATATCTTCCCGTGGGTGTCGTAAGAGGCGACAGAGGAAGACAGGCAGGGCAGGAGATGGGCAGCAGCATCTTCCTGATAACGCATTGATATAATAAAAAACCGCAGTTGCCAACTCACTCGCCAAGCATGGCAACTATGGCAAATATCCCTCCATGAGTAACGACGCTAACAAACGGCCCCCAGTCCCCGGCGGCCCCGCTATTCCTGGCTACGGTAGCGACCATGGTAACGGCGAAGCAGGGGGTGCTAAGAATCTCCGGTGGAGGTTTGGTTGCCACCTACGACGACTCGACTGGCAACATATAACACACGCACCCTGAGGACTGACGAGAAGATACTGGAGTTGGAAGAAGAGGTAGACAAGTTGCGCTGGCGTATTATTGGGTTATCCGAGGTCCGAAGCGAGGGAAAGGACATGGTAATCCTCGAGTCTTGCAACTTGTTCTATCAACGGGAGGCGGGAGGGCGACCATCTGTCCCAAGGAGGTGTCGGATTTATCGTCCACAAGTCTCTCATCAACAACGTTGTAAAGATTGGGAGTGTGTCGACGAGGTAGTAGGGGCCAGCAGCTGGCTGACTTCATGGAGAAAGAGGGACTCTTTATGATGAACTCTTTCTTCCAGAAGCGGCCCCACAGGAAGTGGACCTGGTCGAGCCCCGACGGTTCGACAAAAAATGAGATTGACTTCATTATGACGACCAGACGCCAACTGTTCAGTGATGTCTCAGTGATCGCAAGGGTGAAAACTGGCAGCGATCGTCGAATGGTTAGAGGCACACTGAACCTAAACTTTAAGTTGGAGAGGTCTCGTCTAATGAAGTCAACGCTCCGTCCCCCACATGCTCTAAACCAGAATCCCGAAACCTTTCAGCTCGAGCTACGTAACCGCTTTCAGTGCCTAGAAGATTGCAATGCAGTGGACGATATGAATGACAAGCTCGTGGAAACTGTCCATGCGGTCGGAGCTAAGTTCTGCAAGACCGGCCGCAGAAGAACACAAAAGCTCTCCGATCACACTCTTAATCTCATGGCTGTTAGATGGGAGATGAGGCTGCAATCGTCAACAGATTTGACAGCATACAGGCAACTGAACAGACAGATCTCCAAATGCATGCGGCGAGACTTACGCAAATTTAATACTGCTCCTATTGAAGAAACGATTGAGCGGAACCAGGGCTCCAAAGTCTTTGAGATCTGTCTGCCAGTAAGAGCCAACTGCAAAGCTGAAGACAGTGTGGCAGCATCGTTTCCGGGACACCTGAGATTCTGAGTGAGATTGAGAGGTTCTATGGGCAGCTGTACACATCATCGTTGGAGCCACACGCAAGTGTGAGTAACGATCCAAGAGCGGGTCTTATCCGACACTATTCCGATGATATCCCGAACGTCAGTCTGAGCGAGATTAGAATGGCTCTCCAGCACCTTAAAAACGGCAAGTCCCCGGGCGAGGATGGAATTACAGAGGAGCTTCTGAAAGCGGGTGGAAAACCTTGTACTTGAAGTCCTTCAGAGGCTCTTTAATTCCGTCCTCCATAGTGGCACTACTCCGGAGGCGTGGAGCAGAAGTGCGGTGGTCTTGTTCTTCAAAAAAGGTGACAACGCCCTCTTGAAGAACTACAGACCGATTTCCCTTCTGAGCCGCGTCTACGTGCTGTTATCGAGAATCATTACGAATCGTCTTGCATGCAGACTCGACGACTTCCAGCCTCCCGAACAAGCCGGTTTCCGAAAAGGCTTCAGTACCATAGACCACATACATACCCTGCGGCAGATTGTACAGAAGACCGAAGAGTACAATCTGCCACTTTGCCTGGCGTATGTGGACTATGAGAAAGCCTTTGATTCCGTCGAAATTTGGGCGGTGCTACAGTCCCTTCAGCGGTGCCAAGTTGACTGTCGGTATATCGAGGTGCTGAAGTGTTTTTACAGTAGGGCTACGATGGCTATCCGAGTACAGAACCAGAGTTCGAAACCTATCCAACTGCAGAGAGGTGTAAGACAGGGTGACGTTATATCCCTGAAACTCTTCACCGCTGCGTTGGAAGACGTTTTCAAGCTACTGGACTGGAAAGGATACGGTATTAAAATCAATGGCGAGTACATCACTCACCTTCGATTTGCCGACGATTTGGCACTATGCTCAATGACCTCAATGGTGTCTCCCAACGGATAGGTCTTAAGATGAACATGGACAAAACAAAGATTATCGTTCAATGTCCATGTCACACCTATGCCGGTAGTTGTTGGGAGAACTAAGCTCGAAGTTGTTGACGAGTATGTTTACCTGGGACAAATAGTCCGACTAAGTAAGTCCAACTTCGACCGAGAGGTCAATCGACATATCAACTCGGCTGGGCAGCGTTCGGGAAATTACGACACATCTTCTCGTCAGGTATACCTCCAAACCTGAAAACTAAGTTGTACAACCAGTGCGTGTTGCCAGTGATGACATATGGAACTAGACGTGGGTCGTTACGTCATTTTCAAGAAACGTAACGAAACCAGTGACTTGATCGGCGTCACCTGTTTCAAAACTAGTGATTTTTGTAACTGGCTATTTTTATTCGGCTACTGTGATTGTTTGCATAAATATCACCACCAACTATACAGTTACACACGAAACGAAAATAAATTTAATCACAATCTGTGTTTGTAGTTGTAGCTATACAGTAACTGTATAGTATACTGTTAAATCAATAAATTAACTTCCCTTCATACTTTATTCAGGTTCTGACTGCATTAAATGTATTTATGATTGATTTGCGTTTACACTAAGATTTTCATAAAATTATTAATGCAGGCATATTTACAATCAATCTGATTGCATATACAATGATTTTATTAATTTTTTTTCAACGTTTTCACTATCATTTATTTTTGCACTTTTATTTACACTGTACAATTAATTTGTTTGTTTGTTTGCCTATTTACACACAGTTTTTAAGTTTTGTAATATTATAAACATTTAAATTTTATAATTTATATACACATTTTTAGTTTTATTTTAATTTTATGAATAAAGGAGTTCATGACTCCGTCAAAAATGTTTTAAAAATTATTTTAGTTAAATTCAATGTGGCTCGCTTCCCGGAATCGCAAACCATTGAAATTATTTATAAACAGAGATTACTCTATTTTATTGTCTATGTCTATAATCTTACGTATGAAAATTAAACGTACAATAATACTGTTACTTACGATGTTTTGTTTATTGTTGTATGCCACATGTGCGATATGCGCTCGACCGACCGACAGTCAACTCCCGCAATAATCATGATTAACAATAATCATAATCACGCATTTACAAAAATCGTGACTCACTACTTGTAACATGACTCGAAACTAGTGATTCGGTTACATGCCGCGTAGCCAGTTACTGTATCTAGTGACGTGAAATAACGCCCACGTCTATATGGAACTGAGACGTGGTCCTTCCCTGCTGGCCGTATGAGGACGCTCAAAGTCGCTCAGCGATCTATGGAGAGGGCTATGCTCGGAGTTTCTTTGCATCATAAACTTAAAAATGAGGATATCCGCAGTAGAACCAGAGTGACCGACATAGCCCAACGGATTAGTAAGCTGAAGTGGCAATGGGTTGGCCATATAGCTCAAAGAACCGACAACCGTTGGGGAAAAAAGGTTCTCGAGTGGCAGCCTCTTACTGGTAGACGAAGTGTAGGGCGACCCCCCACTAGATGGAGTGACGAACCGGTAAGACATGCAGGAAATCGATGGATGCAGGTGGCTCAGGACTGTGCTTTGTGGCATACCTTGGGGGAGGCTTATGTTCAGCAGTGGACTTGTAAAGGGCTGTAATGATGATGATGATGATGAGGCAATCTATGGGTGAGGTCTATGTACTAGTGAACTTTAATAAGCCGTAAATGTAATGGTAAGGATTGACAAAGGTATAGCTAACATTTTTTCTGGAGTGAGCTAAAAGAAGCTCTATGCAGACCCTAGAAATACTATGTGGTATTTTGTTATATTTTTATTTTATAAAATAGGGGTGACAAACGAGCACACTGTCCAACTGATGATAAGTGGATGCTGTGACCCATAAACATCTACATTTATCCTTGCTTAAGAATCAAAACCGGATGCGTTGTCAACACTAAGGGCTAAAATGGAATGCCTCGTTTCCAGTAAAAAAGGATCTCCAGATCTCTACACTCACCATACGAACACAACAGTGTTAAGCTGCTATTTTACGCTGGTATTCTGTGAGAGCATGTTCTTTAACCCGTTGAGCTAACCCATTCATGCTACAACCATAATATAGCTGCAGCGTGCACTGCTATGTTCTGGTCTGAAGGTATTTTTTCACAGAGCCATGCTGCAGTTATATTCGGTGCAGTTATATAAAGGATCGGCTTGACCGGGGAAGGACCACGCTCTCACAAAATACCAACGTAAAATGGTAGTTTAATGCTGCTATGTTGCATATGGTGAGTGTAGAGAACCGGAGACCTTTTTTACTGGATACGAGGCATTCCATCTTAGTCCTTACGGGTGCCAACGCATCTGTATTTTGATTTGTAATCGAGGATATATGTAGATGTCTATAGGCCACAGCAGCCACTTACCATCAGGTGGGATGTGTGCTCGTTGTTCACCCTATCCTATATTTAAATAAAAAAACTTTACTAATACGCCTGTAAACCATGGTTTAATGGTGGAATTGAATTCTTGATTTCACATATTTGCAGTCCACTACTGTTGCCTAAATTATTATATCCCCTGCCCCTATTGCAGCACTATTAGTCAGTGTTGGAGTTCTTTTTTTTTTAGGAGCTACAATGTCCTAGAAAATCGATATATTTTTAGCTCTATGCTGGCCCTTTCTCTATATATGAAGGATGTTTTCTGTAAATAATATGTATTAAATCAGACTTAAACATTATAATATATTTTATTATATTATAATTGTCAATTAAATATATGGATGTGAAAGTGAGCGGTGTGCTAGGACAAGCATTATTATATCTAATTTTAAGATAGTTACAATTCAAAAGAGAACATAGAATAGTAATAAAACCCTGTTTTATTCCAGGTTGGTGATGCAGGAGGGGAAACTGAAGGCAATCTGCTCATGGAAACTGTTCCCTCATGGGTTGTAGACGTAGCTATAGAAATGGCCGCACCCAAACTTAATAAACTGCCTTTCTATTTACTTCCTCATTCCAGTTGTCAGAGCAAGCAAGACAGACAAAAGAAGGTACGTTATTTATTAGAAATAAAGTAAAGAGATGTGGGCATATTGTAATAATATTTTTATTATGAATAATAGGCTGCACTAAAAGTATTGGGAATGGAATACCACTGTTCCTGTCATATTAAAATCTTTTTAATTGATAACTCCTTGGTTTTAAAAATCGAATACAATTTATTTATTTAAAAAAAGATTCTTGGTCTTGTCACAAGGTTTTGTCAAACTTGTTTAGTAGTTGAGAAAATGGAATTGACTCGAGAAAATTCAAGAGCCATGATTTATTATGACTTTCGAAGTGGTTTAACACAAAACCGTGTGTTGACCGGATGATTTTTGCATTTGGTAATGAAGCCCCATCCAAAACCACAGTTTATCGCTGGTTTGCTGAATTTCAACGTGGACGTGTCAAGCTCAGTGATGATCCCGTCAAGGTCGTCCAAAAACTGCAGTCACCCAAGAAAACGTTGATGATTGAGGAAGATAGACATGTGACATACTGCGAAATTCAGGCAACTTTACACATTGGCATGAGTTAAATACAAATAATCTTGCATGAACAATTAGGTGTAAAAATTTGTTTTCCCGATGGATACCGCATTTGTTCTGTGAAAAGCAAAAAGCGGCTCGTGTTACTTGGTGCGTCAGAACTCTCGACAGATTCCACGCAAGATCCCCAAATGCTGTATACAACATTGTATCAGGTGACGAATCCTGGATATACGCGTACGGACCCGAAACTAAAAACCAGTCACTAGTTTGGGTGTTTGAAAATGAGTTAAAGCCTACAAAAATTGTTCGTTCACGGAGTGTTGCCAAAAAAAATGCTGGCCACGTTTGTCTCCAAAACCGGCCATTACGACTATTCCTCTTGAGGGACAAGGAACGGTTAATGCAGAATGGTATGCTAGCATTTGTTTGCCACAGGTCGTTTCTAAACTCCGTAAAGAGAAAAAATGTGTCAAATTTCGCGGAGAATACTTCAAAAAGCAATTAATACATTTTTAAACAGTAATTTTGGGTCACTTCCTTGATTCCCGAAATTTTCAGTGCCGCCCTCGTAAATCAAAACTATTTACTCTCAATATATTTTCTGTTGTGTTAAGTTTAGTCTTTATTGGAGATTATTACAAAAATTAAAGAGAGGTAGGCATATTGTATTGTTTTTATTATGAATACATAATAATATATTTTCCCTTGTCTTAAGTTTAGTCTTTACTAGAGATTATTACAAAAATTATGTTGGTCTATTGGTCGTAATCACATCTGCTGATCATGTGATCTTGGTTTCTTTTAAGTTAATTAAGATTGATTTCACATTAAATGGAAGTTGGTTTGCAATGCTGCATCCCATGAAAACACGTAGTCGTTGGTCCTGCTGCTTATTTCTCTGTAGTTTTATCGGATTGCAATGGCATCAGACTATGAGAGTTACTATAATCCAATTCTAAGCAGGTGATTAGACTCCGTTGAGACTGGCCATTGTGACAACTTGGAGGATATTTACTATCATTGAACACATTCATATTGAATATATCGGTAAATTCAAAATCATATCAATATCATATAATAAAATCAATAAATAAAAAACATTTCACAGATTATGTACATAAGGTTTTTAAAATAATTATGATGAAGTCTCCATATAAGTCTTTCCTTCTCAATTATTTTTGCAATTAAAACATCTGGAAAAAAATCTAATAATTATTTATATTAATTTTGATATTTTCCATTAAAATCATATCAAGCTTTTAGACACTAAAATTAAAAAAAACTGCACATCAGAAGTGAAAACTTATCTTTACAAACACACACACACACACACACACACACACACACACACACACATATATATATATATATATATATATATATATATATATATATAAGGTGCGTTGGGGCAATACCGGACGGATTTTCGACTAGTTAAGAGTCGGGCAAAAACTTTATTTTCTCGACATCCATATACGTCAGATTTCTGAAACATGGCGCAAATCGTTAATGGTTACACGTAATTTACCTATAAGAAGCTTTTACTTTTTAAAACCCAACAGTTTCTGCTTAAAAGTGTGCGAAGACAAGGCATAATTTTTTATATGCATGATGAAGAATTGGCCATCAAGGGGAAGACCGGACGTCGCTAAAAATCGCAAATAAAAGTGATATGGAAAGATCGGACGGACGAAAAAAATTCAAAAATTATAAAATACTGCGCAGCACACGCCCTACTTTTCGGAGCGACTGGCTGAAACTTGGGGTCGGGGCAGAATAAAATGGAGTCTTGTACCATATTGCTAGCTTTGAAAAATATAGCATAATTCACCGGAAATTTGAATTTTACGGTCTTACCTCATCACCGATCTTACCCCAATGCACTATATATATATATATATATATATATATATAATAGTCATGTGAGTTTAATGCTTTTTCCCATCCAAAAAGCCCAACTTGCTTTAAGAAGTTTTCACTTCAAAAATATTTTTAATAATCTGTATTCTGAACAGAGAAATATTACATCACATGAGCCCTAACTCACACTTAATCTACATTGTAGAAGCCACAGAAATTACTAATCCTGCTTACTATGAATAGGATTAACACTGATTCTGTATGCCATTTATATATTATATGATATTTTTGAAGGGCATTTGAAAGTTTTTTAATTAATTTTACTATAATATGTCTAATACTTTATAGTACACAAACTGCCTTCAGTTGTTAGGGGCCGAAATTTCCCCAAAACTCAAATTTGATATATGTTTGTCGAAAAGTGTCTGAAATAGCATTATAAACTCTTGATATTTTCAGGACCGACTAGTAGCAAATGATTTCATTCAATGTCGCAAAGTTGCTGAACATGTTGTAGAGAAAATTGTTGGAGGCGGAGATGTAAATGGGGCTAGTGCGAGTGGTGGGAAACCAAGTACCAATGAGGATAGTGGAAATGATGCACCTGAGGAACGAGTAGAGTTGCTATGCTGTGATCAGGTAATGTTTAATTTTTTTTTATTATAACCTCAGTGTTAAAAAATCTCAGCGATGATCTATCTAGATAAATTTGGAAAAATATCTAAATACAAAATTTCATCCAAATTAATAGAGCCGATTTCGAGAAATAATTTCCATTGTAAAATTCACTGGATAATAAGTTACTACTAATTAAGTTACAAATAAATCCACAATAGAACATGATTAATTAAAATAACCCTATGAATGGTTAGTAGTACTAAGTATTCATTATGCAATTAGGCTTTAAATGAAATTGTGTAAAAAGGGATAATCATCATTTCTCTTGAAAAAGTCACTAGTGTAAAGCCAGTAATGCATGTTGGCCAAGCCTCAACCAACACGAGCGTAGGCAAATTGATTCAAGGCGAGTATGGCTTGCGCTTGTTTAATTTATGCTACCTTGTTTAATCTATGCTGGGAACTGAAGCGGGTACCGGTAGACTGGTGCAAAGCCGTGATAGTCCCAGTATATAAAGGAAGAGGGTCGCAGCAGGACTGTAAAAACTACCGTGGCATCAGCCTTCTTAGCATTGTGGGAAAACTGTATGCTAAGGTACTGATTGAAAGGGTCGTGAAAGAAACTGATGGAAAAATTTAGGTTGTGCAAGCGGGATTTAGAAAGGGAATGGGATGTACAGATCAAGTCTTTTCCATGCGCATGATCGCGGAGAAGTTTCTGGCCAAAAACCAAAAGGTTTTTTGTGCGTTCATGGACTTGGAAAAGGCCTATGACAGAGTGGATAGGGATTTGCTATGGCAAACACTGAACTCATTTGGGTTGAGCGCTGGCTTGATACAGGCATTGGAGTCTCTTTATAGGGACTCTAGTGCTTGTGTTAGGATCAACGGGGTCTACTCGAACTGGTTTGACATCCATAAAGGTGTCAGACAGGGCTGTGTGGCTTCCCCGTGGCTGTTCAACCTACTTATGGACAGTTGTTTGCAAAATTTGGAAGTTTAAGAATGCCGAATGGGTGAGTTAACCGTCAAATGCCTTTTGTACGCCGATGATCAAGTTATTCTTGCGTCGTCGGCGGCCGAGTTGCAGATGATGGTTACATTAATGAACGGATCATTAAAAGAAAGGGGTATGAAAGTGAACGCAAGTAAGACGAAGGTTATGGTTTTTGAAAGAGAAGAAAGTAAAACGATTTGTGAAATAAGAATAGAAGGGGAAATGATCGAGCAAGTAGATGAGTTTGTATATTTGGGCTGCGTATTTAGCAGGGATGGGAGATATGATAAGGATATAGAACGACGAGTGAATGCGGGAAATAAGAGTAAATGGGGCCTTGCACTCTGTTGTGAAGAGTCAAAATGTGTCGAAAAAGGCACGTATGGCAATTCACAATGCTGTGTTGGTCCCTACTTTAACGTATGGTAGTGAAAGTTGGGTGTGGCAGAAGAAGCACGAGAGTAGAATAAACGCAGTAGAAATGCGGTCGTTAAGGAGTATGTTAGGGTTGAATCTGAATGACAGGGTAAGAAATTGTGTAATAAGAGAAGAGTGTGGTTTGCAAGATGATGTTGTGACCAGGATTAAGAAAGGAATGCTTCGGTGGTTTGGTCATGTGGAAAGAATGAATGAGGAAAGAGTGACAAAGAAAATTTATGGTGCAGAAGTGAATGGCAGAGTCGGAAAAGGACGTCCTAGGCGAAAATTTATCGACCAAATTGACGATTTATTGAAAACGGGCCAAATTAGGAGTACCCTTAACCGACGAGCATGTATGCGTAGGTGTATGGATGTGAAGGAGGCAAGAGAGGTGTGTCAGGATCGTGCCAAATGGAAGTCTGTAGTCTCTGCCTACCCCTCTGGGTGACAGGCGTGAGTGTTTATGTTATGTCTATGTATAGCTTGCGCCACGAATGATGAAACTGCGCAGAAGCGTAAAACAGGTATCAGTGTGGCGCGGTATGAGGTACGGGGAAGCGAAACCATAGCAACGGACGACGCGCTATCTTCACGTAGTGTCTCCCTGCGTCCCGTCGCCCGCGTACATACTTGTGTCGTCTTGCGTACTATCGACATCGAAAGTGTTAGCGACTACCTGTTATACAATATTGAAAAAATTGTAAATAAAGTAATTAATTTTTCAATAAACCTGGCACTTACGACTTAAATATTGATATCGGTATTAAGAGTATGAAATACTTTATGAGATTTGTAAAAATTAGCAAGATCTATTGAAAGATGACTGTAATCATGTAAGATAAAAGTGAGATTCAACTAGTCCCGGAAAAAAAAACACATGTTTCTTCATAAATCGAATATGTTGCAAAAATAAATTCATCTGGGTGGCGCCACCGTGATTCTACAAGACGGACGACGGTACGATGGACGAACACAGAAGGTCAGAATATTTGGATTATTATGTCTTTTTACCAAAATTAAGATAAAAAATGTATGGATCTGTATTTTTCCACGCAGGACCGGGAAGAGAGCGATAAAAAACATAAAATTCACCAGCTGATTTTCTTCAAACGTTTTGGTGCATTGTAATTCACAGAATAGGCGATAACCTCGCAGACGATATTAAGTAATCCGTTGATGCTCTGCCTACCCCGCAAGGGTTACAGGCGTGATTATAAGTATGGATCAGAAATACTATCACCACCTGTCACGCTTTCATCCTTAACTATTACTTAACTGTGGTAGAAACAGTTCTTAGTAAGCCTTATTAATAGAGAAGAACTGGGAAGACATTTTTGTTAAATTTATTATTAGCGCAAGTACGGAAGGATAAAAACATTGCTGTGGCCGTAGCTTCCTCCGGTATAGCCGCCACGCTGCTAAGCGGTGGTCGCACTGCACATTCTGTTTTAAAACTCTTTAAATCTAGCCCAGGAAGAATCGCCGATCAGCAACTTTAGCAAAAATAGTGCACGAGGTATAATGCTACGACAGTGCAAACTTTTAGTGTGGGACGAAAGTACAATGTCGCATAAAAAAGCTGTAGAAGCACTAAATCGAACGCTCCAGGATTTGCGCAGCAATATCGATGTAATGGGAGGAATGGTGGTTTTACTGGCTGGTGACTTTCGCCAAACTTTACCTGTCATTCAAAAGGGCACACCTGCAGATGAAATTAAAGCATGCCTCAAGTCGTCTATTTTATGGAACAAGGTGACAAAATTCAGTTGAACTACGAATATGAGAGTGCATTTGTATAATGATATCAATGCTGGAAACTATGCTGACACACTATTAAAAATTGGCGATGGGCGTTTGGAAACGGATGCTGAGGGCTGCGTTAAATTGACGAGAGATTTTTGTAATTTAGTACAGAGTCATTCCGAATTAATTGCAAGCGTTTATTCAGATTTAACGATGAACATGCATAAAGACAAATGGTTATGTCAAAGGGCGATTCTTGCACCAAAAAATGAGAGCGTTAACAAAATAAATTCAGATATATTAAGCGAAGTAGCATGAGAAATAACAGAGTATTTGTCAGTAGACACAGTTATGAACACAGAACAGAGCACTTCATATCCCGTGGAGTTTATAAATTCTCTAGAGTTGTCAGGTGTGCCCTCACATAAGTTTCAATTAAAATTAGGCGTCCCAGTCATGCTAATGCGAAATTTAGATGCTCCTCGGTTATGTAACGGGACAAGGCTGCGTGTGACACGTCTTGGACGGAACATAATCGGTGCTACAATTTTGACAGGCGTAGGAAAAGGTGAAAATGTTATTATACCACGGATCCCTATAATTCCCACAGATCTTCCTTTTCAATTCAAAAGGTTGCAGTTCCCTATTAAGCTCAGTTTTGCAATGACAATTAATAAAGCGCAAGGGCAAACGTTACACGTAGCGGGGGTCAACTTAGAAAAACCGTGCTTCTCTCATGGTCAGCTGTATGTAGCATGTTCGCGTGTGTCAAATGCCCAGAATCTCCACATTCTTTCCCCGAATGTAAAAACATATAACATTGTGTACAGTAGCGTCTTAAAATAGTGTTCACTTAGCTTTTTTTCCAAAATTCCCACAATCAATCAGAATTCCCACAGATCTTCCCCTTCAATTCAAAATTTCCTATTCAGCTCAGTTTCTTTTCAATTCCAAATGCTGCACCTCTGACGGACCTATTATGCTCAGTTTCCTTTCCACTCAAAAGGCTGCATCTCTGACGGATCTTTTATTTGGCTCAGTTTCCTTTCAATTCAGAAAACTGTATCTCTGACGAATCAATTTAGCTCAGTTTCTTTTCAAAAGTCTGCATCCCTGACGGATAATTATGCTCAGTTTCCTTTAATTAAAAAAATATCCCATTTCCATTTGGAATAAACAGGCTATTTTCATGCTTTCCTATACGCTGCGTTTCAAAACATTTAAATAGGCTGACGAATCAATTTTGCTCGTTTCCTTTTAACGGCTGCATCTCTGACAAATCTATAAAACTCAGTTTTCTTTCAATTCAAAAAGCAATGGAATGTTTATTTCTCAGTGACCATGCGGGCGAAGCCGCGGGTAACAGCTAGTTTAAGTATAAATGAAATAAAAAAAACAATAATATCATTGAACACTGTATTTAATAAGGTTTCTAACAGTGTATTACACTTCTTTATACATTAACATCAAAACGGTTATTAACAATAAAATCACGTTCGTCGACCTGAGACAAAACAGCAATTACAAATACAAAATATTTTACTTTTTTAACTAAGTGTACATAAAATACAGCATATTATTTAGCAGCAATCAAAACCTAACGATGATATATAAAAATATCGTTCCGTTTTCGTGGAGACTTTGATGTGTAGTTATAATGTCGACCTTTGACTTTTTACATATTAAAATGTCATAATACAATATGCATTTTTCTGCTTGATTGTACATGCGCAGTGGACGCTAAGTAATATCATCATTCGTGGCGCGCCCTATACTACAGTCTACATGTTGGCCAAGTTTGAATGAGTGAAAATACTGACATGGCCGACGAACTTGTGGATACATCTTGTCGAGTTGCAGACGAGTGTATTTGATTTGTGCAAAAAAACTCGACACTGATCAGTAGTGAGACGAGTCGTGGCGAGTGATCCCAAGTAATGGCAAGGCACGCCAAACGAACCGTATACACGTCGGCGCTCGCCTTCACTCGGCCAACATGTGTAGCTGGCCTAACAGCATGCTGAGGGCCTAAAGGGAAGCCTTTTAAAAACAGCACAATAATTACAGTCTGTGAGACATTTCATCTTAGTCCTCATAGGTACACCGCATCTATAGCCTTTTTTGTTTGAAGTTGGCTGCAGGTGTCCACCAACTGCAGTAGCATACCATACCATCAGGTGAACTAGATGTTTATTTAGCACTTTAGTTTTATATAAAAAAACAGCGAACTTTTAGGGACCTCAAAATGTATTATGTTCGATAATCAGTCTAATTACAAAACTTCTAAACATCAGTTTAAATAAATAAATAACATATCACTTTATTGACACATTCGAAAAACATATTTAAATATAAACTAAGTACTTATTCTTAATTAAATTTAGGCAATCGTAGGTAACTCAGCTGTTGCTTAAATGGTACTAAAATCCCATGAAGTGCTGGTTTTCTGGCACTCTTTCATCCCTGAGATATATCATAAGTGTTGTGATTCCAATATTAGATCACCATCTAATATTGGAATTTTACATAAAGTTGTGAAATTCTTTCATTATTTAACTGCAGTGGAGGGCAACAAAAGTATAATATTTAAAGCCGGTGGTTATATATGTGTCTTATGTCTGTGTTGCTGCAGCACAAATGGATTGGCTCAATCAGAGAAGGACCATGCTCGAACAATATCAATTATAAGTGCAGCATAACGTGGTTGTGTTTCATATGGTGTCCTTTTTACTTATAATGAGGCCTTGTATCTTAGTCTTCAGGGATGACAACGCATTTAAATTTTAAACAATATAAAAAATAAAGATATAGGTGTTTATATGCCACAGCATTCACTTACCGTCAGTTGCATTGCATATTCTTTTATCAGTCTTACTTATTTAAAGAAAATCCTATGCTAGTCCTCAGATTTTCGGCAAATGATATCTCAGTTGATCTTACAAACTTGACAGTAAAGTAGATCATGAATGGTCTATATTGGATGAGCTACAAACTTGATCAAGCGTCAAGTCCGCTGCAAACTAAACTTGATTGTGAATGTTTTTGTTTGTTTTGTTTATTTTTTTGTTTTATTAAAAAGAGCTTTACCTCCACACTAGGGTGTTCTTCTGTATCGTGGGAGCAATTCACATACATACATTGGAGATTCCACACAAGGACAAACATTCAGACCCGGAACAATTTATTGTAGGCAATACAAATACTTGTTCTGTGCAGGATTCGAACCTGCGGCCCTCAGCGCTGCAACTGATTGCTAGGCTACAGAGCCATCTTAACAATTTTAGGCATTACTTTATATATGACGTATTAAATTTAAATGTCAATAAGTATAAAATTAAAAAGTGTATAGCTCGTGCCAAATCGATTGAGAAAAACGGACATTGACCTCAGATATGAGCCGAGTGTCAAAAGGCGTAACTTACAAAATCTCGATTTAGATGTGATAACAATATTTAAATATTGATATTATTCACACTTCTAGGTCAGCACATATGTTTTGTTTTTTTGTTTCTTAAATAATATTATCTGTGGTTCCTATAAACATCGCAAAATCTTACGGTACATCGCGAAATATGTGCTACATTTTATATTAAGTAAGTAAGTAATGCAGCAATTCACTTAATAACAGTTTTTTATTAAAAAAATATTTGAAGCAATATAATCACCATATTGAGCTTTTGCAAATTCATCCCTTTAAAATAAACAAAACGCGTGTTACGTCAGTTCGTTCTAAAAGAAACGTGACAATGGCAGCCAGAGATGCGTCACTTTTTTGGGCCAGCCCGCATGCACCGAATAAAAATAGAGTTCTTATATAATATTGAAAATAAAGTTTTATCTTTTGAATAAGTACGTACTTATTCGGTATCATTATCACTCGAATCCTTATATATGTTATAAATTAATGATTTTTTGTTGTTAAATGAATAATGTACTTTATAACAATAGATGATTTTTCTTCTACAGCGATCTTTTAGATAACTTTTTAATAATAGTTAATAAACATATATTGTATCAATCAATATAAAAAATGAAATAAAAAATCATTATAAATAAAGAAAGTACTACATATATAAAGTGCCTATATATTGAGGTTTGTAGCCCCTGGTTAAACGACCGAAAGGTCAATGTCAGTTTTTGTCAATCGATTTGGCACGAACTATCGTATAAAATTAAAATGTCAGTCGTGAACTGTTAAAAAGTTACGAAAAAATGTAAAATGTATAGTAGATAGTATTACCCGAGAATGTATTATTGTGTACCATGTCTACCATTATTTAATGTTAATATTACAGGTGCTCGATCCGAACATGGACTTGCGGACTGTACGCCACTTCATATGGAAGTCCAATGTGGAGTTCACATTACATTACAGAGTTTTGAAACAATGAAAGTCAAATTTGTACTTTTGTAAGGTCAATAGACATTTGAAGAAGTGCTGCTCGTTCCAGACGCTCTTTCAGTGAGATCGGACAGTGTATTTGTGTTATTAAAAAATTGTGAAATGTGACAGAATATTTGACTTGAAAGACATAAATTGTTTGTAAATGGAAAGAAATGTTAAAAATGCAGCTATGTCGTCTTGTCAGTAGCGATGTGTAACGCTTTCTGCCGTCCTATCACTAATGCCTGGTTTCTGTATTTAAGAGGAGTCTCATTTTTCCAAAGGACTGTTTTAATAAACATTCACCCGTGTGATAGCAGTGTAGGAGAAAGTGTCACCTCATTTCACCATCGTCTCATCCCGTGGATGTTATATAGGATGACTATTATAGATATATGTTGTTGCATATCCCGGGTTGGGCGAAAATCAGTTATTGAATTTTTTGTCAAAAAGTTCTCAGAAGCCCAGAGTAAGGAAGATGGCAATGTTTCTCCTCCATGGCTCGAAAAGCACGTAAAATTATTCGTCCTAAGCCTAATCTATCTTTGGTTCCATCGGATTATGAGAGTGAGGGTATAGAGAGTGCATCTATGCTAGCACATACACTCGCACACATCCTATCTTGTGCAAATGGTTAGTCTCCGTTGAGACTGGCTACTGTAACCGAGATTCGGTCGTGGGACATGTTGGTGCGGTTTAGGGTAAAGCATAGATCTTGCGGCTTCTAATAGATAGCTTTGTGAAGTGACTACGACTTAATCTCCTTATGCTTTTTCTGAGAGGATTATGGAGCATTTATTCTTGAGACGTGCAGATTTTCTCACGATGTACTAAATCATTGAAATTACAATTAATATTTTCTATTGCATTGCTGGGGATCGAGCTCTGGTTACTCGCGTGCTAAGTAATTAACGCCAAACCCCGAGCTACCATGGTTTATGCTTCGCGTATATGCTATATGTGCTTTACGCGTATATACTCCTTACTTATTATGACATTGATACATGAAGTGTATTTAGAAAGTGTTTCTATTATAAACATTCGTTGGATAACTCACAATTAACCGACTTTAAGTCGTTGGTTGAATCAGTATTTTGTTTGTTATATGACATTTTCATTTACATTGTACTCTGTAAAATAGTATGGTAAAACCAAGCCTTAAAGAAATGGTAATACTAAATTGGGTGTTATCATTTATCATATCTTTTCGATCTGTACTCCAAATACATTTGACCCGCGGTAATCCGACAAACGTTTTCCAAGGAGTTGTCGGACTATAGAGTACTGCCACAGCCCCCTGGTAGTCTTGTAGGTAGGTAGGTAGGTTGAAAAAGAGTATCTTGTAATCCGACAGATTTTCATATCATATATAAAAAATAAAAATTTCATGTGATGCACAATGAATACCTAAACAGTAAATATAACGAATGCCCGCTTCGCCACTACTATAGTCACATTTGAAATGAGACAATACGCGTCAAGCTAGATTTGTGGTGGCGTGGCGCAAACTAATTGCAATCTGTTTTTCCACGTATTCGCAAAGGACACCTCTCCCCGTGGCGGATTCGAATCTACCTACAAGTTAAACACATGTCGGATTACAAGGGGGACGGATTAGACAGGGGCCGGATTACCAGGGGTCCACTGTATTAGTTTAAAAAAGACATATACTCGTACTTTTGTACGTAGACTCGTATATATAACTAACACCCGTATTCACAAACGTTACTATGAGGTCTCACAGTACGCTCGAATGTACGGATACAGAAAACACTAATCATAAACATCACTTGAGGAACGAACGACACAACTAAAGTACCTAACTCGCTAACTACCTTAGGCGTTTTTCTAAATGGCTATCGATCGTACGATCAAATCCTTGCGTTGATGCGCTCGCTCGATGACACACGACCAATTAGGACACTCAAAAGAGATTTATAGCTTTAATTATACGATCAAACCCATCGTACGATCGTTATTAAGCATTTCTTGTGTTCTCGCGATCACTTGCAAGCTTCAACTTGGACAATAAATGGAATTACTATCCTTACCACCTACATGATTGGCGGTCAGTGGACCGTACAGTAGTAACTGTGCGATTTACAAGAAGTTTTCCACGCACAACTTCCTTGTGGAATCGACTACCACCAGCGATTTTTCGGACTGATACCGACTTGGGAACCTTCAAGAAAAGAACCCACTCTTTTTTTAAAAGGCCGACAACGCATCTACAATTAGCCAGGTGTTGCAGTTGTTCATGGAAGGCGGTAGTCAACTACCATCAGTTGAGCCGCATGCTCGTTTGCCTCATAAAAAAACGCGCTGAAACATCTTGCATTACATAACGTTGCTCATATACTTAAAGTAATGTTTGTGAATACGGGCATTAAAGTGAACCAAAGGTTACTCGTCTTTAGATCGGACGGCAGTTTTAAAGAACGTACCTCTCTCATAATAAAACAATTTTTAGTTGTGTGTGCGCTGAATGAAGCATGCTAGAATTTGTTTTTATTTATTCAAATACAAACCATTATAGAATAATTGCTGGTATCTCCATTAGGAGGATATAATGATTTTTGAAGCACAAAATGACAAAATAATCGCCAACAGTTTTCCAATATGGCGCGAATGTATGACGTCATATACTGTCCCGTGTTTTGGAACGAATCACCGGTATAGCGTCGATTCATGACGTCATTTGCATTGAACATTACACTGCGTTGTATTTCGGAACATACCCTTTATCTCTACCAGTTCTTCGTCATAGATTGCCACAAAATGCATACTTTACTTGAGCCACTTACATCCATCAACTACCTGCGTGTTTCTTCAGATCATCACTCCATCTAGTGGGAGGTGCTTGCGAGTACGAAGTTGCCACTCGAACGAAAATCTCTTGGATCGGTTCTCAGCGAGCTATATTGCCTGCTGATGCCACTTGAGCTTACTAATCCGTTGACCTGTGTCAGCTACTCTTCTTTTTCTGTAGATATCCTCGTTACAGATGTTTTCTTGCGGATAAATTTCAAACATATCCCTTTCCATCGCACGCTAAGTGTCTGAGCTTCCTCAAACGGCTTCATTGAAGGATCACGTTTCAATTCCGTAAGTCATCACTTGCAACACGCATTGGTGATACACTTTTATCTTAAAATTCTGACTGAATGAGTATAATGTGTTAAGATTTGTCGCGAATCTCCCAACGAGAATACATACTTCAATATATTCTATTATATTCAGAATAGATATAGATTTATACATATAACTCGTACGAATTAACTTGAGACCTGGGCCGATGACGTAATTGTCAATGTACGGTGTGCAAAATAATGCGTCGTAATATTTTTTTATTTGAAATTTTTGAGATTTGCATGAGATTATTAATAAAAACAAAATAAAATGTTCTGGCAAGGGGTGAAGTAATAAGTGATATACTGTTGCCATTTTTATATATTTTAAATATTTATTTTTTCTAATATATATAATATTATTTTTAGTTAACGCGTCAAGGAAAGACAAAGAAATAAACATACACACTTTCTCATTTATAATATTATTAATTTATTTATTATACACTTTATTGCACTATAAAAGGTGTTACAGATTCGTACACAATAAAAATACAAAGCATAACAGGCGACCTTATTGCTAAAAAGCAATCTCTCCCAGGCAACCTTAGGGTGAAAGTGAATCAATCTTGGATAAGCGGAACAGCACAAACTATGTAAAATCAAGGAATAGAATTAAGGAATATTAATAAGGATTTATTATAATATTTATTATTCATTGTCACTGTATACGATCGGTTCTATTCCGTCCATTAGATCGTCCTCACTTTCACTCTCTGAGCTGGATTCTTCCCCTCCGAGGGATATAATTAATTCTCTCTGTTGGATTTCTTCAAGTCTATCACTCACCCAGTATTCATTTTCTAATCTTTCGATATGGTTAATTTCTTTCTTCCAATCGGAAGCCGTTATAGACTGTATTGCGTCTCTTGTCAAACCCTCTATTTCCCTTTCAAACTGGTTAACATTTTTAGCTGCCACCCTTTGTTTTATTAAGTTCCATATATATTCGATAGGGTTCAAATCACAATGGTAGGGTGGCAGTCGTAATACCTCGTGTCCATGCTCCCTCATAAGTTCGTCCACTATATATTTTTTCGGTGGTTTATTGAGCAGTATTATATGGTACAGTTCCAGTTTCGTCATTTTTTCATCAAAAGGAATGTTGTTTTTCCGAAGCCAACTCTGCATCTCACCTTTCAGGGACGAGCTCACGGGTGGTTTTTCAGACTGCGTTGAGTGGTAGGGAGCATTGTCTATAACCACGAGACTGTTTTGAGGTAAGTTTGGGATTAGTTTTTCTGTCAACCACTTTTTAAAGTTTTTACTATCCATTTCGTGATGGTAGTCCCCGGCATTACTTTTGCATTTGTAAAGCAATTCGGCACCAGGGATAAAGCCGTTTTCACCGCCAGCGTGCACCAATATCCACCGCTGTCCTGGATTATAATTTTTTCTAATGCTTCCGTCATTGTTATTTTGCCAGCATTTGCGCGCGGTATAGTGGGAGTGAATCCATGTTTCGTCTAAATAAGTTACGGGTTTTTTGTCCACCCCAAGTTCATTGTTTTCTTTCTTCCTTCGTAAATAACGGGCGCTCCAGGCAGCAATGTCCGGCTTTTGTATTAAGACTTGTCTTGCGTTCTTACATTTTTTTAAATTTGTACCCCAAGTAGTCAACGAGTATTCGTTGTAACGTGGTTTTTTCACCTGTAAAATAAAGATTTTATTTTTAATTTTTAGTTATCGCGTGGTATTTTTTCAATAAATAATTTAAAATTAAATATCTCAGAAATGGTTCACTTTTGCATATGGGTGTCCATACATAAAATTGTTGCAAATTACCAGTTCTACCACCCCTAACAAGATTATGCTTGAATTAAATGTCACCTTGTATATGATATGACCTAAAGTATGATATATAATACATATAAAAAAA